GCCAGACCGCAGGAGCGGCCCTCGGCATGCTGGGAAGTGACTTCTAAGGTTTCCATGGGAACCACCGCGGAGGTCCACTTTACGAAGCACTTAGTGAATCTCCGGAGGCATGAGTGTGACTCGGGCCACGTGGCTGGCGCGGGTGGTTGTGAACACGTGGTGTCTGACAAAGGAGAAAAATGCAAACCTGCTTTCTTTGGGGGAAACCAGCCCTAAGAAGAAAGCCGACTGTTTTATGAATGACTTAACTCTGTTTCTAGAAGCTGCCTAATGTGAACAGTGAGCCTTTCAGTTTTACTTTACTGAGCTTTGTGAGCAAAGGACAGACCCCAGAGATGGTGGTAAATGTGGAGATGCACCAGGTCTCCAGATGGGCCCCTGCTGGTGGTGGGAAAGCGGGGGTTTAATTCCAGGAGCAAGGGAACTGGACTGTGACGCCGGCTGCCGGGCCGAGCACAGACAGCGCTGCTCCCATTTGATTCAGACGCTCTTTAAAACATCTTGTTGTTTTATCTCAGGCATATGAACACACATACTTAATAATACAATACACATTCTTAAGAAATAAAATACTACAGATGCCGTATCGTCACAGCTCACTCTGATCCCACACCCTTCCTCCCCAAAGATAACCACTAACATGAATTGGGGTTTATCCTGCTACCACATTAAAATTTTTTTTGTAAAACATATATGCATGTCCATAAACAACACAGCCGTTTTGCGTACTTCTAAACTTTACATGAAGAGCATCATATTATATAAACCTTGTTTTTATTTTTTGCTCAACACTTTTGAGAGATTTAGCTATAATGGTATTTGTAGCTCTAGTACAGGGGTCCTCAAACTTTTTAAACAGGGGGCCAGTTCACTGTGCCTCAGACCGTTGGAGGGCCGGACTATAGTTTAAAAAAAAACTATGAACAAATTCCTATGCACACAGCGGTGGCAAAAACACCCGGCGGGCCGGATAAATGTTTTCGGCGGGCCGCATGTGGCCCGCGGGCCGTAGTTTGAGGACCCCTGCTCTAGTACATCCGTTTTCGCTGCGGTATAGTATTCCACTGCAGCACTAAACTCAAATGGATTTATTCATTCTCTGGTTGACCATCGTTTAGGGTTTTCCCAGTGTTCACCGTTGCTGGTAACGCTACAATAAACATTATTACACAGGTCTTCATGTGCACAGGCCCTCTGGGTGTATGTGTTGGGGAGTGGAATTGCTATCCCAAAGGGTATGCATAGCTTCAGTGTTCCTAGATGTTGGCCAAATTGCTCCAAAGAGGTTGCGTCTGTTAACACTCCCACCAGCTGTGTGTGTGAGTCCCAGTGGCTCCACATTTGTTAGACTTCAGTTATCATCAATCATGTGGGTGCAGAATGGTTGATGTGCATTTTGAACAGCAGCGGCGGGCGCTCCTTTCCAGCACCCTTTCCTGGAGTTCAGGAAACCGTGTAATCCCACTTTAGCAGAGGCCAGAGTCTTCATGAGGCGAAGTATAAAGAAATAAATCCAGAAGGCTCTGGAGGACCCAGGTCCCCAAGAACCAGCAGGCGTGGCCCCTGGCCCACTGAACCTGGTGACTTTCGGTCCCGATGAAATCTGTGGGGTCCATCTTGAGACCTTGCCCACTGAGCAGTTATGGGGCAGCTCCTGCCTTTGACCCTGGAGGGATGTGTTCAACAAAGAAAGGGGGCCTGAAGGTCAGCCACGTCCAAAGCTGCCCAGAGATCCGGTCATGAGGACTGGGAAATGGCCGAAGCACTTGGCCACAGAGGGGTCGCGTGATCTCGACAAGAGCAGTTGAGGTGGTGGCGTGCTGGGGACAGTCTCATAGTAATGGGTTCACGGGAACATTGAAGATGAGAAATTGGAGACAAGGGATAGAAACCACTTATTTTCAGGAGTTTTGCTGTAACGGGGCACAGCCATGAGAAGTGGGGTGCTAACTGGATAGGGCCATGGGATCAAAGGTGTTATTTCAGAATTTTATATAAGAATAAGCCATCAGACCCTGCTGGCGGGGATGGAAACGGTGCAGCTGCTCTGGAAGAACAATCTGGCAGTTCCTCAAAAGGTTAGGCAGCGTTAGCATGTGACCAGCAGCTCCCCTCCTGGGCACACATCCAAGAGAGCGGAAAACATGTGTCCACACCAAGACTTGTGCACCAGGGTTCATGCACCACTGTTCACAATAGCCACACAGCAGAAGCAGCTCAGTACCCATCAGTGACGAATGGAAAAGTGAAGGACGGCCTATCCATACGATGGACTCCTTACCCAGCCATCAGAAGGGGTGAGGTTCCCATCCATGTGTGGGTGAGCCTTGAAGACATTATGCTAAATGAAGGAAGCCATTCACAAAGACCACATGTCGTATGATTCCATTTACACGAAACATCCAGAACAGGCAAATGTGTACAGACAGAAAGCAGATCAGGGCTGGGTTTGTGGGCAGGTTGGGGGAGAAATGGGGAGTGAGCGTTACTGGGTACAGACTCTCTTTTCGGGGTGCTGAAGATGCTCTAACATTGATGATGGTCATGGCTGCTCCATGTTCTAAAACCTAGTGTGGTGATGGCTGTTAAGTTGTGTTCCGAGACTCTGTTTCCAATGTGGGGGGAGGTGTTCCCCACGCCTCCAACAAGCGCTTCTCGGAAACCAGCTGGGAGCCTGAGAATTCAGCTCAATTCCACTCCATTCTGGAACTACCCAGAGGTAGCATGACATCTCCCAGGTTAGGAGTTCAGTCCTCAAGGCCGCCCTCCCCAGACGCCAGTCACAAGCCTGGGATGTCACCTGGACTTCTGACCTGCTGGCTAGAAATAAGAGGTTCCCACGACCCCCTCCTGGGTTCCATTAATTTGCTAGAAAGGCTCACGGAACTCAGAGAGACGTGGCACTAGATCACCGGTTTATAATTAAGGATATAACTCAGGAAAAGGCAGAGGGAAGAGCTGCTTGAGGCAAGGAACGGGGGCAGGGTGGGAGCTCCCGTGCCCTGCAGGTGAGCTACTCTCCCCTCATCTCCACGTGCTCACCAGCCTGGAAGCTCTGGGGCCCAGTCCTCTGGTTTCTATGGAGACTTCGTTACATAGACATGATTGATGGAATCATTGGCCACTGAGGACGGATTCAACCTCTGGTCCCTCTCCCCTCCCTGATGCTGGGGTGGGGGTGGAAGTTCCAACCTTCTAATTACTTGTGGGTTCTCCTGGCAACGAGCCCCCCCCCCCTTAGTTAGGATCCTCACTCACCTAACACAAGGCACCTTTATCGCTCTCCACACTTAGGACATGCGAGGGTTTCGGGAGCTGGGAGGGGACTGTGGATGGAGACCAAGTGTCTCATCGTCACAGTACCGCAGCGCGCAGCTCTGAGATGTGCTAGAAACCACTGGATCGCACACCAAACAAATCCAGGAGAGGGCGAGTCCATGCCGTCAGAGAGAAGGCGACCAGCAGGGGAGATGGGACCCCGTGCCCCGGGGGGAAATTGGTCTCAGTGGGGAGCACACCCTGTCCCCGCAGGAGCAGGAGGGACGGGCCAGCCTGCGGGCACAGACACTGGCAGCTGAGGGGCTGTGGTGAGGAGCTGCTCATGGCGGGCGTTCTGCGATGGTGTCATTTTTCTCTGAGAAGTAGCAGCAAGGTCACCGGCTGAGTTAGAAGGAGGGAGGAGGGCTGGAGCTCAGGAGTGAGTGTGAGTAACTGCATGAGGGGGCGGCACGCAGTGCTCCGGAGGTCAAGGGAGGGGAGGGTGCGGTGGGCTGGGCCTGTGTGTGCTTAGATCAATCACGTGTTTCGCAATGCGTGGTGCTTCTTGTGTGCGGCGCTG